CTTCTGAAAGCAAATTGAAAATTTTGATTTCAGTTTTTAAAATACTGTTTCATATGATCCTTTCAATTAAAAGCAAGTTCTCATTCAAAATTATGGTACTCTTTATACAAATTTCTTCATTGTATAATGTGTAAGTTTCGAATTATTGCATAAACATTGCATATAAATGCTTAAAATCACTAAAAAAGACTGAAAATCTGATTAAGTGATCTGCACATTTCCAGAAAGCCTCATATTCGAAGCTCTCCTCAATTGCAGTATTTGCTTTTTTTTTTCAAACTCATGGAATACAAACAAATTTAAAGTAGTTGATACAAATATGTAAAATCTCAGTTTTCAGTAGGATTTGAACGTAATCTCCTCTCCATGAAGGGGAATATCACCACTTATAAGGTATTTCTCCGGCGTTCTTAGCATGTCTTCGTGGTGCAATGGTCAGTACGCTCGGCGCGTATTCGGGATGTCCGTGTTTCAAGTACCGGCGAGGGCATTGCTCATTTTTCATCTCTACAGCTTTCAAAAACAGCCTAATGTCTTTACAGTGGTACCCGAACTAAAAAAGGTGGTGGATGATGATTTTCCACCACCAGGATTTGGCGACTGACTTCCCTAATCCTCAGTCGCCCTTTAAAAGTTGGAGTATATAATGTATTTCTCCCGCCTTCTTAACATGCCTTCGTTGCGTAATGATCAGCACGCTCGGCGCGTATTAGAGAGGCCCGTGATTCGAGTCTCGGCGAAGGCCCTGCTCATTTTTCATCTCTCCTGCTTTCAAAAAATATCTAATGTCTCTACACACTGTAATAACAAAGCCAGTAGATAACTACTTAAGAGAGTTGCAAATTTGAACCTCTTTCTGACAGTGACTGGATATGCCCTTTACAAATAAAGATTTTAAAAGCATAAATAATAATTTACTGTAATATATTATTGCTTATTCATAGGTTATATTCATGCCCCCCCCAAAAAAAAAGGTAACAGAGAGATCAGAACATAATGAGTTTTACAAAATTTTGGCACTAAATCTAGATTGTCTAGATCTGAATAAAATAACATTATCACTGTTTATGCTTCAGTATACGCCTTTTGATGTTATGCTTCTTTTCGTACATTTATAGAGCATCTGGATTATTCCGCGGAAATCATTTCTTAGAACATTTACTATTCCTGCAGGTACGGTAAACTTAATTTCTGAAACGTTTGAAAATGCTGCTCTTTAAAGACAGATATCATCATTAGAGACCACAAAATAGTCTCCAGGGGCCAAATTTGACGAGTAAGAAGTATAATTAAAAGTAGTAGTTTTTTCTTTTTCAATTTAATATTTTGATTTTCAATAGGTAAGATTGTCAAAAAAAGGAGGGGGATAAACGCGAGTAAATATGGTATTGTTCTTGTACAACCACGGTTCGACTTACCTAACACTTCATTTAGGAAAATTCGAATTATAGCTCCGTTACTTCATTGCTTTGCTTCAATAATATTTTTATTTCTTCAACACATGTCAAGTTAATAAAATTCATCAAAATCTTGACAACTGCAAAATCCAATCATACCAATTCTGCGAAATTTGCTAGATTAGAAAAAATACAATACAAATGCCTTTTTCACAATTTCTGAAATTCGTACTGCACATGATCGTGACTCAACCTTTCATTACCTTAGACCTATACATATTTTTTTTCTGTACAAATACCCTGTATCTGCATTTCTTTTTATCTTGAGTTTATTCTCATGCATGGTATTAATAGCGTAACCACGCTATCCGCGTTCGCTTTCTTTTTACGTACGCGTCCAGACGTAACCAATGTGCTTGTTCGTTGTATGATCTGTGGGGTGGAAAAATTCATTCAATTCCAAAAGTGTCACGCCACAGAAAGTGTCCTTGCTCTAAAAATGGAGCGAATCTTCGTTTGTTATGAAGGGAAGAAAACTTCGATCAAAACTGCAGTCAAACCACAATGCGTGTCTGTTGTTACGTTCTTTGCAGAGAAATAAAAAAAAAAAAATAAAGAAAGGAAGACAAGAGAGATTAAAGAAAAGTCGTATCATTAAAAGTTAGGTAATCATTTATTTGCATTAACCGCAAATCCAACTAGATCAAGAATCAGCCAAAAGCGTTCATATCTGCATACTCCACTGCAGGGGTTCTCAACCGGTGGTACGCGTACCCCTGGTGGTACGCAAGGAAAAAATAGGTGGTACGTAAAGAAGCAAATTATTTTTAAGTATTAAATTCAAAAATTAAAACCCCAACATCCTGATTAAATGTTTTCTCTAACACTCGTTAATTTATGCGATCTGAGCTTTGTTCAAGAGTGGTGCTGGTAGTAGTACTTTGTAGTGGTGTTACTAAATGTTTTCGATTTTTGTTTAGATGGTACGCATTAGTCAAAAGATTGAGAACTGCTGCTCTACTGTATTAGAGATTATTTTTGATTCAGACTGGAGCACAGTTTTTCATTCCAAGTGCAACGGAAAGAGAAAAGAAAGTTAATGAGTCACAATTTGAACAATCAACATGTACTCTGTAATACATATTTTAGTCTTATACTTATGTAATGCAGAATCATCCATGTAAGAAGCAAACATCTTTGTCATCATAGCAACGATAAGTTATAGAATACACGTAAACCTAAATACCAGAAAGCACAAAAAAGTATGATCGATGAACATAAACCATATCCGGCAGGCTAATCGAAAGAGGTTTGAAAGAAATCTACTAACTAGAAAATGTAAACGCTTTAAGCATCTTACAGATTTATAGAAATTAAGAATAAGTAAATGTTATTGGTATATTAATTACAAAATTCAATTACGGTAAAAGAAACCTTTAAGGCCAGATTCATGCGGAGGCAAGCTGTAAGGAATACAGTGAAACACATGGAGCAAGGCATGCTTTAGTTTACATTATTCCATTTTACTCTTTAAACTAAATTATTAAATACATGCTGGTTAAAACAACTCCTTTCCCACAGTGTAATCATTCTTTCGACAAGCAGTAATTTACAAGGATTTGAAATTGACAATAAAAGAATATTTTTCTTTTTTAAATGAAGCAGTATTAAAATAATTATGAAGTTCTGAAGCACAGATTATTATAGGTCTGTGATGGTTAAAAGAACATATAAACTTTGTTTTTTTATTATTGCTTTCTTTATCAGAAACACATATTAATGATTGATTTCGCTAACCATATGAAAATTAGTTTCATAATTAATTAATGTGAACCAAAATAAGTTTTTTTTTCTTTTTAACCGTCAGAAGAATAAAGTAAATATTACTTCGCTACGTTTGATTTTCAATTATTTGCTCCTATTTGTCTAATTTTAGTATGTCTGTTTCATTCGATAAAACTATTTAAATGTGCATTTTGCTTATTCATCATACTTTATACAGCAGAATTTGAAAGCATCAAGTAAAACTAATTTGAAAATTACAAAAAAAATATATTTCAAGGTAAATACTTATAAAAAGTACTTATAAAAAGTAAATACTTATAAATAGTAAAAAAGAAGAAGAAAGGGAGAATTGCTTTCATACTTTTTTTTTTTTTTCATTTTCATTTCGTCCTTGATATCAGGAATTAATGTTGCAGACAGTAGGTCAATGAATCTCGATACTAGAAACCTTCTATTTTATTGCGCAATTCACATATTTTACTACTTCTTATTTGATTTTGAAAAAAAATCTACCCTTTTACCTTTCAGAAAAAAATTTTATCTAACAGCGCTGACCAATTTAATGAAAAGGCAATAGTAAGAAATTAATTATTCAAAAACCTTGCGATTCTTGTGAATTACCTTAAGTGTAAATTTAAATGTTAGGAACAGAGTTTCTGTTTCACCTCAGTTTGCTGAATAATTATTTCTAATTATATACATTGTTTCCATTCAGACTGTAAGCTATCTAGTCTTGAGGAAGAACTATTTTCCCTCGTACCAGAAATTCCTCTGAATGCCAATACAGAACGTTTAACAGAAATTTTGGAGCGATTCCGAACTAGTTACTTTGAAATTTTCTTTAATTCAGTTTCTTCGTTGTCTCATCATTGGAAGTAAACCCATATTTTATAATAAAAAAGTAAAGTTAATATACTGATTCAGAAACAGGGGGCAGTAAAGTCTCTAAGATAGGATTTTGAATTATTTATGAGCATTTACTGATTATAGCAGTTAATTTTTTTTCCATTAAACACATTCCTTAAAGATGAAGACCATCACCAAAACCTTATAATAAATTATTGGGAAAGTAAGTTCTAACCAAACGCGAGTAAATTTTTATCGTTGTGTGAAAACATTTGCCAGTGGAATGCTACAGAATTACAGTAATTATTTTTACATAAAATTACAATAATTATTTTTACATACACTTGAATATTATTTCCTTTATGTAATTCAATTGAAAATATGGCATTCAAAAATAAAATTTCGAAGTTTATATAAAATAAAATTAAAATCATATTATTTTTGAAAATAATGCAGGCAAAAGGGGGTTCCTCTATTATTTTGAAGAAGACTGACCATGCATTTTCAGAAAAAACATTAAAGGCTTTCTTCAAAACTAGTTCTAAACTACTTTTAATCATGATAAATTAATTGGTAACTGTAAAAAAATTTACAATTTGGCAACACGTTTTTTAGTAGCACGTTTATTTTCTGTATATTTTTTTATTGCATCCTTCATTCTTAATGCCGAATATTCTGAGTTAATCCATTCTAGCTAAGACAGTAAAGCTGTATGCAAAAATTTCTAATTAACGTAGTATTTATTCTTGTGAATTAAACATTTTGTGAATTAAAATTTTCAAAACTTTCTTTTTATTAATTTAACTTGCTAATCAGTATTTCCATGCTATATCAGCATATGTGCTGCTAATAAATAAACGTATTTTGAATAGTTTTGTTTAATTTGATTTATCACTCAATCTTAACTACATATATAAAGGCACATGTACAAAACAGAAATATGAAAACAAAAGGAGAGTAGGGGAAACTCACCTCAACATTTTAAAGTAAGTCCGATTTCCAAAGAGGGTAGGCGCTGCACGTGCATATAAAGCAATCAACAGATATAAATTTCTTCGTCCTCAGCGCTGCTTCTCGACCGACAAACAGCGGGTATCAGCACCGGGAAGCTTTATATACAATGAAAAACCGCTCCACCTGTTAGCCTAGTTTTATGCGAGACTTTATGAATCGAGGCCTTTAGTGAGTGCCTGCGGCCAACCCAAACACTTCCACTGGAGACACTGAGAGTAAGGGAAATTTTTTACTCCTCGGATTCTGTAATAAACTCGTTTTCCTTTTTCGCGAAGCATTTCTTTTCGCTTTTTAAGCCGTCTTACCGTGACGGGTGAGAATTTACCGAAAGTATGGATTCAGTGTTCCTGCTCACTTTCATTCATCGTTACGATAAGGGGAAAGAATAAGCACTAGGAAATTATTTCCTATTGTCTGATAACAGGTATTCAAGGAGAAAGATTGGTAATTAATAAACGAAATTCAACCTGTTTATTGCTCTAATAACCTGATGCTAGAGATATAGCGCATTGAATATACATTTGAATATTCAATATATATTATTGAATATTAAAATTTTGAAAACGTTATTTCTATTTAAATGTATTTCAGCAGTTTGGAAATGTAATGATTTATAAAAGCATTCATCAAATATTACGCAAATTCATACTGAAAAGCTATATTAAACATTGTGTAGTTTGGAAACATAACTTTTGTGTCATTTAAGTATTTTCCTACTTGCAGTGTTCAGCTTCCTTAAAATCTGAATGAAAATTGCGTACCCCTCTAAAGGACTGCGGTTTTTAATAAAAGAACGCAATAATAGATATGAGGTATGTATACCTTAAATAACATCAAAACATGAGGCGAATTCTTTGATTGTTGCACAAACCTGTATTTATTACGGCAACAGTTTCACTAGCAATTTGTTAGAGCTAGCCTTATTTTTATTGCAGGATAATCAGCTAACGTTTTGGATTTGATAACAGCTATAATCAGACCTTGAATTCTTCAATATCACCAAGTATTTATATATTTTTAGCATATAAAAATGTTTGAAAAGAAATACAAACTATTGTCTTTCTTTTTGTTGCCCATCTGTAAAAAAAATTGTAAACTGAATATTTTTTGTTTAAATATTGAACTGATTTTTAATCCCTCATCTCCATAATCATATCTCCCATAATAAAAAAAGTAAAATAGATAAACGTTTCATTGAGGGGCGTTTTTGTTGTACATCTCGAGATCCATCAACTGTCTTATCTGATAAACCTCAGTTTAGCAGCTAACCATCGATAATCATCATCAGAAGTACTCTGAGCTCGCATTTCTTTGAGATATGATGCAAAACTGCACAAGAACGCTCATTCATCATCATCATTTAGAAAGCTTCGCACATTAATTGGAACCACTGATTTATTACAGACACGATCAAAACAATAACTTACTTTCTCAGAATATTTAGTAGAAGCTCATTAAATGGGGCTTAAGCATACTGTATTACAACAATATTAAATAAGACAAAATCAGTAAAATATAATGTCCCAAGATCTGGGCTGTTTTAAAGGTAAGTGCATTGGGCCTTGCATAATATATTCTACATTTTAGCATTACAGTTAAATATTTAAGGTATGCTTCATATAATAATTTTAACGCTGAATACATGTTGATCAGTAATATAAACTTATTGAACGCTATATGTAGCGGCTCATAAATATAAACTAATATCCTTGAGCTGGATGCTTTATTAGTTAAATCACTTTGCCATTATTTATTCCCATATTCATCTGCTTTTATGATTCAACTTATCAGAAAACGATACATTAATTTACTGCTTATCTTTTTACCTCCGGAGAAAGGCATTGTCTATAAAAAATACTTAAATTGCGTAGTGTATGCATTAGCTTTGATCGAATGTCATTTAAACCAAACTTCACTAACCACTTAGGCGAAGGGGAAAAAATTAGGAAAGATTTCTTTATGGTCATTCATCTAACAAAAGTAGTGTCTTCAAACTAATGCTAACAAAGCATTGTTTATTCATTTTTAAAGTCTGAGAGAGCGTAAATCATCGACTCACAGTTATTCATTCTAAATGCTTAACTCTTATTTTACACTCACAAACATACAAAAAAGAAAGAAAGAAAAGAAAAGTCTCTGTCAAAGTTGTGCTGAAAATAATTCGCAGTTAAAATAAACAAAAACTAATTTTAAGCAAATTAAAAAATAAAAAGCATGAATTAACACATGTGTTTCAAAATGTGAAATTAAAAACTGTTCAAAACTTTAAAGAAATGATTGTAACCTGAAATATATCTCAACTACACTTAACGTGTTTATTTTATTCTAGTGTCATACAAAACAAAAAGAAATACAAAATGTCTGTATGATAATTTGCACCTAAAATCATTAATCCGAGACGAAGTGGCAGTAATTTGTTAAAACCTTTTTCTCCATTCTTTAATCCGATATCAAACAGCAATTACGGTAAAACCATCGCGATATGTTCATTTCCGTCAGAACCTGAAATTGATGTAGCATACTCAATTTCCTGTTGCATGTAATCTCAGTTGTTACAAAATATCCGAACAAAAGAAAAGTTTTTAAATCAGTTTCAAGCATCACACTCTTTTATGTATATGTACTTTATCCGAAATTCCCAGTGTATTGCTTTACACAAACTTCTTCATGACATTTATGTATATGATTACTTCATTAATTGAGTCAAAATTTATATTAAAAGCAATCTGAATGCCCTCTAAATTATTTTCAGCAACATACGTGTAGGGAAGATGGATTCCATTGTCAAAAGTAGATGATTTCTTATAAGTAACTTTTAAAAAGGAAAATTAAAATATGATTTGATTTTTTACCGTTGTATATAGAATTCTTTTACTCTCTAGTAGAGAACATAAATTATGAAGAAGCAAACGCATTGCTATGCAAATTTTTGCGCACATACGAATTATGCAAGCAAATGAGATCGTTGCAACGCAAAATGTAAACATCCAAACAGTGTACGATAGTACATTACGGCGTTGTGTAAGCTATAATATTCGAGTTTTACTGCTATTTACAGGTCTGATAAATGAAGAGGACAAGGTAAATACTTTGAAATGTCGTCTTACCAAGTATTAGCAAACGAAGGAGTTCACGAAAAGCATGTTACCCCTCCGTATGTCTCTAGTTGGTCCTTGTGCCGTTGTTAGTGGGTTTTACCGATACTGCACCCATGAAGGATATGTGCAACGTGTAGGAGGTCCGGACAACATAACCTGAGTCCAGGGTCCAATTGGTTTGGAGCACGGAGAGGGATATCAGAAGGCATTAATCTCCGCATAAAACGCCCTGCCATATCTGACCCATAGTTCACACATTTAGATATTTTGCGAATGCATAGGATGCTTCCGCTATTCCAGTATGAAAGCAGATAGATTTGCGGAATTTGGCTGATACATGTTTGGAGTGCAGCCATCCTTTACGAAGGCTTCGATTAATAATGAGTCATCGCCATGAATGTTTTAATCTGTGTCGTAATAGAACTGCGCAGTGTGCTGAGTAAGACAGTGTAGTCTTCAACTAAGAATCTTGCTTTTGCCTTGCAAAAGACGATCAGCCTGCGAATGTGCACATGCGACTCACCCACAAAGATGATTATTATACCATTTTCGAGTGACATATGGCCGTCAACATGAAATAATGTTTTGAGTTACCATTAGTGCAAAAGCTATTCAATTTTAGCACAAATTAAGGGCACATTAATGGCACGCCGTTATATCTGATGACGTTCTGTAGTGCTGTCTTCTTCCTTATCTTCAGATCATCGCAAACGTCATTTTTCTATTAGATAACGCCCACCCACGCGCTAATCATTTCACCTTGAATGCATTGCAGTGTGTACTAGTATTGTCTTGGCTAGTCCAATCTCCCGACTGTTCGCTAATTGAGCATCCGAAAGACATGATTTGACGTCGTTTGAATATTTCCTCTTTTGCCCGGAACGAAAATGAAATGTGAGGTCGCAACAACAACGCATGGCACACGATACCGCAGGACATGATTTGGACACTTATTGGTTCGATGGAATTACCTGTTCACGTATGTAGCGCCCGAAATGAGAGTGCAACATCTTATTGCATGCCATAAATGCATATTGTCTTATGGTTGCACATGTTTGAAAAATTAAACCATTTTAAGCGTTTGAATTTCTATGAATGTGCAAAACTTGGTCTGTTTCTAATTATGTTTTCTTAATATGGCTTCTCCCCCTTTCCGTCAGGCAGTATACAAGAGTTCTATTTCTAGTATTTTTTATAAACCATATATATCTGACAAAACAGCAACATCTTTTTGAAAACATGCAATGAAAAATATATGAACATTTCTGGAGGAATAAATTTCAGAAAGGGCTGTTGGTGTAATATAGGAAATATCGTATCATAATTTTAGTACACGTTTGGTATTTTCACTTCTTCCCAGAGACATCAGTTAGGTTGACAGTCAATAAAAATAAAGATTCTCTCCTCCTCAATCCGTATTCTAGCTTGCTAAAAATTCTTGGAAGACAAAAACATTTTTTCTTAGATAATCACACATGCGTTCAATGTATTTAAACTCGAGGAATCGAGCTAATTATTCAATTAGGTCAACAGTTTCGGCTTCAAAAATTCGGGCGTTAATGTAGCTTGGTATTATGTATTATTACCATACATTGAAGTTAATTAATTAATAATTATACAGCTTCAAAATTTGACATTTATAACATCAAATATTTCTTTACAATACCGCGAAGTATTTGAAACTCCATGACACTAATTTCCTTGTAAGTATGAAGCTCCACAGCTCCAACAAAACAACTCCACCTGCTCGTTTGCTTATGCTATTCAACCGTTATATGACGTAATCCTCAAATTGTCAATTACAGCTGGATTCATCTGAGAAAAGCAATAAGCATCATTCCTGTTTGTTGGAGTAAATACACTGTCTATTCCAACAGAACTGAGCATTCTGTAAATTCGAAACAATGGCTAAAAGAATAAATTATGCTACTTCTAGTTGCTATAAAAGCCTTGTTTTTACTATGGAAGAGGATTTCGTTGTTCTCCTTAACGCTGAATGTTTCCTCAGAAACAGATTCCGCAATTTGTGTTCAATATGTTTCCAGTGTTTAGCCATCTACATCTTTGATGCCCTCATTA